CTTCTCTCCTTCTCCCTCTGCCCTCCCCTCCACTTCTCAAATAAATAAAAAAAAAGATCTTAAAAAAAAAGAAAAGAAAAGAAGGAGATATTGCATAAAGTAGGGTCAAGACTGAATTTGTGTTCTAAGGTCAGAGGAGTGTAGCATCAGATGCTCTGGGGCCCTGGAAAAGCAGGGTTTCAGAGGAAGAAGGGGGCAGGGGAATGACAGATTTGGGGAACAACACAGACCTGCTGTGTCACTACTAGTTTGTGGACTCTCCAAACAAACTTCTGACCAAACACCAATTCTAAGTCTGAGCTCTACAAAGGTCACACTAAAATGCTAACCCTGGATTCAAAAATATGCTACACAATGTACTTACTTATAGCTTCGAAAGTAAATCTTGCCATTCAATGCAGTGAAGTGCAGAACATACTCTAAACCAGCCAGGCGGATATTTGGTACCGTGGGGCCTCTGAAGAAATCTGAAAACAAATTTGAGATCATTTAAAAAAAAAAAAGACTAACATGCTTTGAAATTCAGTTACAGAAAGCCAGATTGCAAAGTGCTCCATATTGTATCAATACGTACCTAAAAAGATAAAAAGGTGACACAAAAACTGATCCCTGAAGAATGTCTGAGAGTCCCACTCCTCTACCATTTAAGCTCATGACTTTGTGTATTTAGTTCACTGAGCCATGTAATTTGTCAGTTTTGAAGTTCTAAGCCAATGCTTAACATATGCGTATATCGTATTTATCATGCATATTAACTTTTTAAAAAATGTAAATCAAAGCATAGAATTTTTTATCTATGACACAGGTAGGTTAAGATGACAAATTTCTATGGGGCGCCTGGGTGACTCAGTCAGTTAAGCATCCAACTCTTGATTTCAGCTCAGGTCATGATCTCAGGGTCGTGAGATCCAACCCTGCATAGGGCTCCACACTCAACATAGAGTCTGCTTGTCTTCTCCCTCTGCTCCTCCCCCTGCATTCTCTCAAATAAATAAATAAAATCTTAAACACACACAAACACACAAAAGAGCTGTTCAAACTTTGACTATTAAATCAAATTAGCCTTTGTTTTATGATAGAGGCCAACATGGAAGTAATTCTAAGAAGAAATCTCAATTATATGAGCAAAGATAATAAACTAAAGTGTTAAAGCCAGGAAAAAACCACTGAGATCCATGAGTAGGCTGTTTTCCCACAGTGTGGTAGTCATATCACTGGTGGCACATGAGATGATCTTAAATGATACACAGGCAGATACAATTTACGATGTATTATTTATTTTATCAGATACCATTTTCCATTCATGGTAGAAACATAAACTTTCCTTGTAAAAAAGGAGTCAGGATAAAGAAACATCTCCAGTGAACAACACTATGAATACTACATGGACTTGGCTAAAGTTATGAAGGTAGCATGTGAATGAAAAAAGTTTGAAAAACAACAATCATTTCATCTTAACAAACAAATTTCAAAGTCCTGTTCACTAGGGGCGCCTGGGTGGCTCAGTTGGTTACGCATCTGCCTTTGGCTTGGGTCATGATCCCAGGGTCCTGGGATCAAGCCCCACATCAGGCTCCCTGCTCAGTGGGAGGCCTGCTTCTCCCTCTGTCTGCCGCTCCCCCTGCTGTGCTCTCTCTCTGCCAAATAAATAAATAAAAATCTTTAAAAAAAAAGTTCTGTTCACTAAAAAAGCCTACAAACAATGACTAACCATGAAACAATTCCTATCACCCAGACTGTGATTTCCAAAATAATTTCTCAATTTAAAAAAGTTCAGGCCTCCTTAGAGAAGCAGCTGATTCCAGGAATGGAGCAATGAAAGTATAAGAGGAGTCTGAAACATCAAAGGGGCAATGAATTAAAATGTGTCTCAGAACATTGCCAAAAAGACTGACCCTAAAATGGGCAGGAATGATGGCTGAGATAAAGAGAGATATTAATGAGTAAGATAAAAATAAAAACCTGGGG